TCATAATATGTTAATACGAGTACATAGCCATACATTTATTTATGCATATACATAAATACTCGCCCATACATACACGTATGTCTGTCGATGTTGCTCCACTTGTCTTTATCTTTGCTTTCGTCGTGTATACGTAACGAAAATATCTTCCGATAAACGTCTGAGTTTGCCAAACATTCTTTCACGCATTTGTACATACATACATATGTATGAACGCCGTGGGGCATTGAGGTAGTTTTATTTTTCATTTTACTTATGGTGTGATATAACAGCAGCGCTGCTCTAAAAAGCAGTCAATGACATGGTCAGAAAGTTCTATAATTAAAAAGTTATACTTTTTATTTAACTATAATAGTATTTAATTGGTATGGGAAGAGAATTGAAGTTTGGGTATTAGCGAAATATGTATAATATAACAAATAACATTGAAGAATTTAAATTTATAAAATAATTTAGACAAATTTAGATACTATCGTTGGTTGGATAAATTTAAGAATTATTTAATTAAAAGATAAATTAATTAATTAAAACAATGTTAAAAATTAGATCTTGCTAAAATATAAAAATATTAATAATTAAAATTCTTTAATGGTAATTGGTTAAGTGGTTAGGAGTAAGCAAGATAAAAAAAATCGGTTTTTCCATTTTTGCATTTTCCCATAGTATAATTGAATAAATATCTTATAAAATTCTCTGAAAATTTGATATGAATACCCCAAATATTTTTTAAGTTATTCGAAATACACATTTCTCCAATTTGGATTTGCGAAATACTTTCGGGAGGTTTGGTTTTGATGTTAGTAGGACCAGGACTCGAACCTTTGTCTTCCGAATGGCGAATTGCGAAATGAGAACCACTCGGCTACTGCGAACGCCGTTATTCGAAATACACATTTTTCCAATTTGGATTTGCGAAATACTTTCGGGAGGTTTGGTTTTGATGTTAGTAGGACCAGGACTCGAACATTTGTCTTCCGAATGGCGAATTGCGAAATGAGAACCACTCGGCTACTGCGAACGCCGTTATTCGACATACATATTATAGAACTAGTGGCCACTGTATTTTTCCTTTTTGTAAATTTTGTAAATTTGATATTAATCATTATTAAAACTTTATGCCTGTATGCGCCTAGATGTAGGCAACGGACGTAAAAGTTGTATGTCCCTCGCACGACACGTTTCCGAAAGCTACCGATTGGCTTTGGTTTAAGAAAAAATTCCTTTTGGTGCTTCAGCTTCTATTAGATGCCTGTTGGAGTACTCTCTACGGTAACATCCCAATAGGAACTGCTTGCACAGCAAAGCATTAAGCTCCTAAGCTCATCAGGAGGTTTCTTTTTGCGATCCTGAGGGACGTGTTCTGCGTCTCGTTCGTCCCCGGCGCACAGATCGGTGCAGCATAGTTTATTGACCGGCCGGTCAATTGCTTTGTAAGTTGCCAGCAAAGTTACTTTGTCTTTACCCCAGGCGCAGCCGGGTGGCGCTTTGTATTTTGAGTATTTTGTTGCGGCTCTGGAGTTTTGCGGCATTTGCGGTCGTAGGCGGAGAGAAGGAGTGCAGGCTATCTAGTGTTACTCCCAATATCTTTAGGGTTGGGCTGGGTTACACCAAATCCTTCTTATCAGGGCTTGCGTTGAATAAAACCGAGGTAAGACGGATTATTTCTGCTGCGTGTGCCAGGTATTATAATGGATGAGCCTAGATATTGATCGAAGGAATAGTGAAAACTTCTTCAATGTTACTACATGATACCATATTCCCTTTTACTCTATTTGTAATCTTTGCTAACTTATTTAATTTTGTAAATAATAGTGCAAATTTTACCATGTTCCACACGCGAATTTTAAAAGTTTTTATAAATTTCCGGAAGGCTGATCGCCCACTACGAATAAACCGTCAAAACTTTTTTGTGCCCAGCCTTGGTTTCCATAATATATGACTTTTTACAATTCATGTTTTCATATTTTTATCCATTTCCCATACAAATTAGATCCGAAAAGTAGATTTAAGAAAAGTTTAGATTATCAAATTGTATCATCGGGAAATATAAATGAAGTAGATTTTTTTTAAGCCGAAAAACTTCTCTCACCGACTCTGAAAACAGCGCTTCGAGGAAAACCCATTTAAAGTTTTGCAAACCATTTACACGCCAAATGAGACGTCTTTAATGATACGATCATATCTCCGAAACTGTTTGTCGGATCAACTTCAGATTTTCGGAAAATATTCTTAGATTTTTTGAAAATTTCAAGTGGCTACATCCCCTAAATCGTTTACCGATTATTTGATGGAACGTTGTTTTGTTTCATCCTTTTTCCGTTTCCTACTATGCATTTATGCACATATATAATATATTGAAAAAAATATGTATTTAAAATTAAGAATGTTTTATCTAATATGTGAATGTCCCAAATCAAAGTTTTTGTTAAAAAAAAAACTCCTCTAAACTGCTGGACCCACTTTTTTGAAATTTTATGTGCTTATCCGATTACGTAGCTAACTCCAGCCCTTTTGTACGAGCCAAGCGGTTTATGAACGCTACTATAATAAAATGACGAGTAAACTTACCGGGCATTCATTTTCCCCCAAACTGAAACCAGAATTTGTAGTAAGATTTGAAGAATTGAAGAAAAAACTGCCTTAGTCAATGTGAATACCCTCACTGAAAGTCACAGACAGCAGTCCAAAGCAGCACGCATTGAATACATGGCACACTTTCCACTGTCTGTTTGACTAAAGAACATGGATACATAATATACAATAATATAGGTATATATGTACGTATTTGGTATATGTTTGTTTGTGAATATGAAAGCGCAGAAATTGCCCTTGGCCAGCAGTCAGCGCCATAATTAAATGTATTAAAAAGAAGGAAAAAACGCGTTTGCTTAATGTTGACGTCACTTTTTTTAGCTAAAAAAAATCTAAGAGAACAAGTTTTTAATGGATAACGCATAAGTTGGCAACAAGAAGATATGTATGAATGTAAAAAGGATGGATTTAGTCAAATACTTAACCAATTGTAAATGTATAAAGTAGGTTCTCTTACACTACTAATATAAAAAGGCATAAAATAGCTGCTGTTTTTAAATATTAAACCAAACAAACATATATATACTGTGTATGGACACTTATATAAAACAGACACGTTTATTATTTTTTTATTTATTTAATAGCAAATGCAACAGACACAGAAACCAATAATAAAGGGTGATTTTTTAAGAGCTATAGGAAAGTTTTTCAAAAAAAAACACAAAAAATTCACAAAAATGCGTAAAATATTTATTTGAATCGATAGTACGGTCTATATAATTTAATGTTTGAAGATTATTTCATGCAAATGTTGGCCGTGACTGCGCCTCCTCCAATGCGACAATTGAAGCGGGTTTGGCTGTATAGGCACTAGATTTAGCTTGGCTGCACAAAAAATAGTCTAAAGGCGTTAAATCGCACGATCTAGGCGGCCAATTGACCGGTCCCGAACGTGAAATAAAATGTTCACCGAACTCGCCTCTCAATAAGTTCATTGTTACGCGTGCTGTGTGGTATGTGGCACGGTCGATCACGATAGCGTTCACCATTCACAGTTACGTTACGATTCATATCATCTTTTAAGAAGTATCGCCCAATGATGCCACCAGCCCATAAACCGCATCAAACTGTGATTTTTTCTGGATGCATTGGGAGCTCTTGCAATGCTTCCGGCTGATCTTCACTCCAAAATCGACAATTCTGCTTATTTACGCACCCATTATGCCAAAAATGGGCTTCGTCGCTGAACTGAAGAGCTGCGCGATGAACTTTCTTAACAGAGCACGTATTTTGATATTAAAATTCAATAATTTCCAAGCAATATTCGTTGGTAAGACGATCCATGGTTAAATTATAGACCAAACTGAAGATGTTTGGCATGGATACAAAACCCGAGACATGCGTCAGCTGTTTAAACCAGTGTTGCCAAAAAGATTATAACTAAAAAAAAGTCACCCTTTACTACCCACATATGCTTCCATTGTGCCTAGACTGCGCTAATAAATTTTTTGTATCATTAGAAACTATATTTCCAGCTGTAGTTTCGATAAGCAGTTTAAAATGTGTAAATAAACTAAATTAAAAGATAATTAAAACTGCGTTATACAAGTGCATAAGTACTTACTCTTAAATATGTATTTACAATAACACATTTCTTCCATTACTTGTAACAACCAAATTTGTAAGCTAAGGGCACAACAGTTGAAGGGAAAGCAGCAAACATCCAATATTATAGAAAACTAACCTACTAAGAATTGAAAGAAGAGCTGCTGTCGGTCATACCAAAAAACTCACAGTTTTTTGCGGTTTTTGGGCTGGTGCAATCATTGGACCGTACTTCTTAAAAGATGATGCGAATCGTAACGTAACTGTGAATAGAGAGCGCTATCGTGAGATGATATCGAACTTTTTTTTTTGCCCAAAATGAAAGAACTTGACTTGCATGACATGTGGTTTCAACAAGACCGTGCCAAATACCACACAGCACGCGTAACAATGAACTTATTGAGAGGCGAGTTCGGGACCGGTCAATTGGCTGCCTGGATTGAGCAATTTAACGCCTTTAAACTATTTTTTGTGGGGCTATGTTAAATCTAATGTTTATACAGACAAGCCCGCTTCAATTGACGCATTGGAGGAAAATATTGCAGCATTTATTCGTGAGATGCCGTGGAAAGAGTTTGCTAAAATTGGACTAAGTGGATGGACCATTTAAGACGTAATCCTCAAACATTAAATTATATAGACCGTACTATCGATTCAAATAAATATTTTATGCATTTTTGTGAATTTTTTTTGTTTTTTTTTTTTTTGAAAAACTTTCCTATAGATCTTAAAAAACCACCCTTTATATGTACTCGCATATGATGAGCCGTGTTCACAAGTAGTATTTAAATGCATTTAAAGATATCTTTTACATTTTCGAAACAAATTTTATTTGATCAATTCAAAAATATTCGTATGCATATAGATACATATGAATGTACATATATATAAGTATGTATATATGTATTAAAGCAATTTTTTCTCTTTAAAAATAACATCCAACTCCCGCTCCAACACTGGATTCGTACCACGCATATTGTCCACAACTTTTTTAGCCCAAACATAGTACTGTTCTTGACGTTCTAGCGACCAACCGATTGGCGGCTTTCTCCTCAAGTCACGCAGGTTATCCAACTTGTCTGCCAATTTCACCAATTTCGCTTTAAAACTTGACATAGCAGCATGTTCGATTTGTAAACGTTTACGTTCTTGCTTCTCTAAGGACTTATCATCGGTGACCTCACGCACAATTTCACAAATCTCCACACCGAAATGTTGTTTTATTTCCTCAAATGTTGTGTCGGTGTCCTCGACAGTGTCGTGTAGAAGGGCAGCAATAAGTACACTCTCATCGGTTATTCCACCCTCCACGGCAAGTATTGTAGCCACATTTATGGGATGATTTATATAGGGCGTTTCATTATCCTTGCGTCGTTGTGTGCGATGTTTGCTGGCGGCGAATTGTAAACCTTGCATTAATTTCGTAGTAGGATGTAAGGCTTCCATGGTCTATTTGTACGCACACTCGCACACACACACGCACTTAATCAGTCTTCAGGAGGTTCAGGTAATATTCCAACCAAAAATAAAAGTAGGATGAATATACATATTTATTAAACTGAGTAATTGGATTCTAAGAAATGTTAGCAAAATTTCGGCAAAAACTAAATAAGTATGTACACATATATTTCAAAAATCTATATACGCATTATTTTATTTACTCATAAATCTCTAGTTAAAGTTGTCATGGATGTGCATACATACATATAAGTACGCCTTCAAAAGTACAGGTCTGTATATATTGGATGAGTGCATAAGTTCGTGCCCGATTCCACTAAATGCCGTTCGAATCGTTTGAGAGTGGCGCTCGTGAAAGAAATATATACATATTATATATCGTTGGAAAGGTGACAGTCCGAACTGTAAATCAAGCATAAAATAACTTCATTTTGATTTGATTTGCTTAGTGAAAAGACGCATGGAAGATGGACACCGAAAAAGATCATATGCGTCATATTATGTTATACGAATTCCGCAAAGGAAAAACAGTAGGCGCTGCAACTAAAGATATTCGCGAAGTTTATTTGGACCGTGCTCCAGCACTCCGCACAGTAAAGAAATGGTTCGCGAAATTTCGTTCTGGAGATTTTAACCTCGAAGATAAACCTCGCAGTGGACGGCCTTCTGAGCTTGATGACGATGTTCTAGGGACTTTAGTTGCGAATAACTCACGTATTTCGACGGAAGAGGTTGCCAGTGAATTGAGCGTCAACAAATCAACTGCGTTTCGTCGTTTAAAAAAGGTTGGGTACACTTTGAAGCTCGATACATGGGTGCCACATCAGTTGAGTGAAAAAAACAAAGTGGACCGTATGTCAACAGCAATTTCTTTGCTTCGACGGATCAAAAACGAACCTTTTTTGGATCGGCTCGTGACTGGTGATGAAAAATGGATCCTGTACAACAATGTTCAACGCAAAAGAACATGGAAACAGGCACACGAAGGGGCGGAACCGATGTCGAAAGGTGGATTGCATCCGATGAAGGTACTGCTGTGCATTTGGTGGGATATCCGAGGCGTGATCTATTTTGAGCTCTTGCCAGCTGGAGAAACGATCACTGCCAACAAGTATTGTCAGCAATTGGTCGAATTGAAGAAAGCAATTGATGAAAAACGTCCGATTTTGGCCAATCGCAAAGGAGTTCTTTTCCATCATGACAACGCCAGGCCACATGTTGCAAAACCGACCCTGGCCAAACTGAAGGAGATGAATTGGGAAATCATGCCGCATCCCCCATATTCACCCGACATTGCACCTTCTGATTATCATTTGTTTCGATCGCTGCAGAACAATTTGAATGGAAAAAAATTTAAAAATGTGGAAGACGTCAAAAACCACCTTGACACCTTTTTCAACGAGAAACCGCGCGATTTCTATGAATCAGGCATCCGTAAATTGGATTGCCGAACATGATTGATGTATTCGCTACACATAATTGATTAATAAAAGCGCTTTCTTCAAAAAATTTCAATTTTAGTTTGCACTTGAAATCGGACACGAACTTATGCACTCATCCAATATATCAAACTTAACTATCAAACTAAACATGTTTTGTTTTAGTTAAAAATCAGGCATTATTGAAAATGGATGGCTTAACAACTGTACAACGCGTTAAAATTGTTAAGACCACTACAAAAATTGTGAATCAAAGGTGGCCATGTTTCGTACTTTAAGAAAAAGTTTTGCAACACATAATCATCCAATTTCTCAAACAACTGGCAAAATTTAAGAAAGACTAGATCGGTTACAGATATTGAGATGCCTATGTATCGTCGTTTCGCTTGTTTTACCTCAAATATCGCTGAAGACCCGAAAGTGCTCGTTTCTCGACATTCATAAGAGCTGGAACATTCTTACGGCACCTACACATAAACGCATATAAAGTCCAGCCCAAGCGACAGCTGAAACCTGGTAATCATTCACAAAGCCGTCATAGGTTGATTGGTTGCTTGAATTACGAGCAGTGAACGGCGTCATTTCAAATTTTCTTCAGCGACTCCCACTCAGGAGAAACGTAAATAAGCAAAACTATCACATTCGGTGCTCCGGGAATTGTCAAAAAATTGAATTGAACCTTACTTTTTTGATAACGACAACATCGAGATTGTCAAAGACTTTTTTGGTGTGCAATTAAAGGACAGGACTTGGACAATATGTGGTTTAAACAAGATGATGCCACATGGCATACTACACAACGTACGCACTGCTTACGCGATTATAGGCGCTTTATTGCGCGGGAGAAATTTCCCGCCCGCGTAATCTCCCTTCTTGGCGATGTTAAGAGACACCGTTGGGATTTATTTTGTGAGGCCACGCGAAAACCCGTATTTATGCGGATGAACCTTAAAATCAAGAGCATTTTAGAACCAAAATTCGTCCAGTTACGGCTAATATACCGCGAAATATGTGCCAATGAATTGAATGGTGTAATGTAAAAGGAATTCCACAAAAAATTTATCATAAATGCATTTTATTTGCGTTCATTTTTCAAACCGATAAATGGGTAACCTTGTATATAGCAAGCAGGTGGAGCATAAACAATTTACCTAAAATCTTATCAATGTCATTTACAATATACGAGTATAATTCGGAAGTTGTATATTGTAATTTAGATATGTACATACATATGGTATTAAATTTCAATGCCAAGCAATATCTGCTGACAATCGTGCAAATACAATATTTAAGTGGACATGGTGGGCTTGTAACAAATTTTAATATCTTATCAACTTTTGATATACAGATCATCTGGTAGATATTACATTTTAATGTTGCAGGGGTGACAGTCTTGTGCTTCAGAGCTCCATTTCCTGTGAAGCACTACAACATGGAAAAGGTTAAACCTTAACACACAGGAAAGATCTGCGATTTTAATGAATTTAACAGAAAAAACAGAAGTTTTGACATGATTTTTGACTGAGGTCCGAATACAAAATCGCGATCGTTGGTAAAATTCAAAAATCTATATACAAATAAATATATTAAAATCAAACTAAGTCTGTCTTAAAAAAATATATACATATATTCTAATTGCATTTCATTTAGTAAATTTTGTTCATGCCTTCCAAAAACTGGTTGGTATTATTATTATTACGCATTTGAAATCAAATTAGTAATTACAAGCTTGCCAAATAGAAGATATGTTTCCCCTCACAGCCACATATTCCAGTTTCTTGAAATAATTGAAAATATATTTCAATATCGCCAAACAAATTTGATTAGATTAAAAAATAAGCCCTGACAAAAAAGCCGATGAGCGAAATACTACGCGATAAACTACGAGAGAAAAAAGTCACGCCACGTAGCTGGCGTAATGCACGAAATTAAACGACTTACGAATATGAGGATTTGCGATAAGAAATAGAAATTTCTTAAAAAATTTCACGGCCAGAAATCAATAGAATTAAGTGGAAAAATAATTTATTCATATTTGTGTTTGCCCGCTTGTAGTGAAATGACCATCACTTATTTAGCTTTCAAACCAGAAATGAACATTTGCTTAATAATGCTGTTAAAAAAATGTATATGTGTATTAAAGATATACATAGATAATAATTAAAATATTCATTCATTAAAGTTTTATTTAAAAACTTAATATACCTACATATATATGTACATGTACATTTATTGGGTTATTTAAATTTATGCATATAAAAAGATTTAACATTATTCTCATACATTTATTTTAGAAGGAATTGATTCACCAAATGGTTTTACTCCCTATTTGGAAGTTTGTTTGCGAGAACCTACTCCACTACCTTTGGGATTCGTGCGAAGATATTTGCAATAAATCAGAAACGATATCGAATTTTACATAAAACCGGCAATCGTCGAGCGAACCAGACATTTGCAAGTCTATTCTGTCGAATTAATGAAATTTACTTTGGTATTAAAATTTCCTATTTCGTATTCAAAATGTAGAAGCATATCGTGCTAGAAGTTGGGGAGACAAAAATACCCTTTTACAGGCCTTTTCTCACTGTTACCGGTAAAGTAAATTTTGTTACTTTTCTTTAACACCCGAAATTGAATTTGGTATTCTGGCGAACTGGTTACAATGTTTGAAAAAAATTTGGCAGCACTGCTTTTTTCGTCCATGTCAAATTACATTTGCCAGTTGATAAAGTAAAAAGAAAAATATTCACATCGAAATGGAAGACGGTGCACAAAAAAATTAAAAAGTTTTATTAATTTGTTTATTAAATCATAAATATTTGAACCTAATTATGGAAAATATACCTGGATAACAAAATAAGCGGAATGAAAACGTTATCTTACAAATTAAAGGGCTATTTTTTAGTGACGAAATCTTCTTAAAATACGGCTTTTTGCAGTTTTTTCCTCATCTTCATTGAATTCAAGGCCTAAAATATGCCTACCCATTTTGGTCTTTTATTTTTTCTCAAACTTACAACACAAAATCAAACAGCAGATATTTTTGTTACCTCCTATTTCGCTGGTAACAAAATTTACAGGGTAACAGTGAGCTCAGAATACGAAATAGTAACAAAATTTACTGAATGGTAAATTTTAACACCTATGTAAATTTTGTTACCTCGACAGAATAGTCCTGATTGTCAAAGTTTGCACAGTTGCATTTGGATATGCGTGACAATGTATGGTTGCTTTGCAACTGACGTTCTGGAACTCAACTGTTATTACACTTTCACCTTGGTTATGCAGCCGAATACTAACTAAAAGTAAACATAATATCACTTTTTTCTGATAAAATGTTTTCGTCCCTAATTAGGTGTCGCACTCTGTTCATGGATTGCACATGTTTTTGTAAAAAAAATAATATCTAAAAATGAATTTTGAATAAATTCCTTCAATTGGCAAAATAGATCATTCAATTTAAAATAAAGATCGTTTCTAATTAGCTGTCAACAGCTGTATCCAACTGTTGTAAATCCAAGGATTTTAGCATATAAACATATACATATTACTTTCTTAATGTTTTGTTTACGATGTATATATGTATACTGTAAACAGTGCATACTCTTGTTACAGGTAAGAACATTTGTATATATTGATGAGTGCATAAGTTCGTGCCCGATTCCGCTGGATGCCGTTCGAATCGTTTGAGAGTGGCGNACATAATTGATTAATAAAAGCGCTTTCTTCAAAAAATTTCAATTTTAGTTTGCACTTGAAATCGGGCACGAACTTATACACTCATCCAATATATAAATGTAGGACCTAGATCAATACACTATATTACATACATACTTATATTGTAGTTATTGTGATAAATTGCAGCAAACATTTGAGAGCAGCGATACGCATTATGCAATCAATATAAGAAATATGTATACATACGTACGTACATACAGATGTACAGATGAGACAAATGCAAACCAAGAATTATGTCGAAAGCAGCTGCAACTTTGATGTCTTCGTGGCATATACATACATACATATATGCATATATGTATATAAAAATTAATGTTGCTAAATTCTATATGCTGAATGCGAACAAAGAGTCTCTCCACGTTTTGACCGACAATTGCAGTTGCACCTAATTGTTCTGCTGTATACATATGTATGTGATTTGTTCTTATTTACTAGGTTTTCTATTTAAATTATGTAGAAAAAAGAATTTGTCTTACCTTCAATTGATTCAAATGCACAAAGGTATCTTATTTACGACTATATCGAATATGTTTATTATTAATTTGTGTCTTTTTTGTAATATATATCACTTTTAATTTATATATATGTATGTTCTATTACAAGAGAAATTTTAGGACAGACGGGGAAAATCGATTGGACGAATTCACATAAATATCGCACCAAATTTTATATGATTTCACTTTGTGCTTTCAAATAGGGTGATAAAAATGTAAATACTATTGAAAACTAATATGTTTTATTATTAAATGATATTATATTAATAGTTTATAATTAATTATCCATGCACTTTTCGTTTTTTTTTTCTGCGGCTGTACACATATGAAATTTACGAAAAACAACTTCCCCTCCTGTCCTTTCAATGGAAAATTGTTTCGAGCAAACAGTGTTGCCTGCTGTTTCGAATATACAGAGTAGTGCTACCACTTCATCAAGTTTGGTAAGAGAAATCCTTTAGCCTATGTTTACACATTCCAAAAACAGGATGATAACAGTAAATAAAAAATATCGCTTCGCCACTTACAGGCCTATTCTCACTGTTACCGGTAAAGTAAATTTTGTTACTTTTCTTTAACACCCGAAATTGAATTTGGTATTCTGGCGAACTGGTTACAATATTTGAAAAAAATTTGGCAGCACTGTTTTTATCGTCCATGTCAAATTACATTTGCCAGTTGATAAAGTAAAAAAAAATATTTATCCTCATCTTCATTGAATTCCAGGCCTAAAATATGCCTACCCATTTTGGTTTTTTATTTTTTCTCAAACTTACAACACAAAATCAAACAGCAGACATGTTTGTTACCTCCTATTTCACTGGTAACAAAATTTACAGGGTAACAGTGAGCTCAGAATACGAAATGGTAACAAAATTTACTGTATGGTAAATTTTAATACCTAGGTAAATTTTCTTACCTCGACAGAATAGGCCTGTTAGAGTTTATTATACATATCTCATGATAGTACATAGCTCGTCAGCCAAAAACAAAATTTGGAATTTTAAATTTTCAACCCCCATATGTAGAACCAACTGTCGTGAGAAATTGGAAATACCAGAAATTTTGAAATGGGTCTATGTCGTCGTAAGAAATTAGGGTTGTTGCTGTCGTAAACGCAAAATTATTCCTCAAAGTAGTTTTTGCGGAATGTTGCGGGAGTAACAGTCCTTAGCCGGAAAAGAAATCTCGGGTACCGTTCCGGTATAAAAACCCGACTGTCGTGGGAACTATTGGATTTTAGTCGCCTCTTACGACAAGCATGCTTTACCTCAGGTAAATTCTTGAGACCTTCCTGCCTGTTCCCTTACTTTCGAAACCTTCGAAACAGCTCGTATCTTGGGTCTCCGGTTAGTTCACTCAACAACGATTTAAGGCATAAGTAATTAGTTGAGTTACAACAACCACATGATATTCAGACAAATATTGAAGGAGATTTTCAGGCGTGAAATTATTTTCCTTTGAACGACTGTTGTAGAGAGGAAAACTTAAGTTATCTGTCGTATTTCAAAAATGGGTAATTTCTGGTAATTGTAGCAGCTCACACGCTCGCTTGCTCATTAAATTCTCTAATATAGCCAACAAGGTCTCACGCACCACTTATGCATTAATTTCACTAGGTTCTCTCCGACGTAATAGCATTTATCTATTCGAGCTGGCTTATCTAGATATTTTGCAAAAATAATACGTATATTTACATCTTCAATATTATTTTATTCAGTTTAATGTCTTTACAGTTTGCAGAGATTCACAATTTCAAAGTTGTGTATATGTGTGTATTACATAGTATTAAGTGCATACTACACAATTGAGTATTAAATTTTTATTAATTCGAATGTTGAAAGATCATAGTTATGTATGTCTTAAGCTAATAAACCCCAAAAGAAGTAAATAATATCAATGGTAGCAAAAATAAGTTGATAGATATAATTAAATTGTAATATTATGAGTAAATGGAAACAAAAAATGCAACACGAAAAATGTAAATAATCTCACCTGGAAAGAAATCTAGATAATATACATAGCACATACATATGTATTTATATGTTAACTTGAAAAAGTATTACATAATTTGTGAATATACAAAACAAAATCTTTGGTATATTAAGGAAATATGTAAGTATGTACATAATTGTACGTAAGCAACCATTTTACATTGAAGTCTTTTTTAGTAAGATTTGACACCGTATGAGCGAAATTTTGTGAAACAAATTATAAGAAAATTCTTGTTTCTTTTTCTTTTAATTTTCATCTTACATAACTATTAAATATTAATTGCACAAAAATCGTCATCACTTTTAATTTGGAAATAAGATGCCTATCTTTAGTCTATAAGTTATGCTTTAGCAAAAAAAAAAAATATAACGTTCTTATTATAAATTATATAAGCAAAAAAACATATGTAACAAAAAAAAAATAGTTCAAAATTGTTCGAAGTCTTTGGTTAACGTTACTGGGCAAGAATTGGACTTCTATTTTTGCAAACTTGTGTTTGTTTATATTATTAATATTCCTTTCTGTTATTGTACATCAAAAATATAGATAGCTACAGACATGACTCGCTTCATTAGCTGCACAAAATAAACATATTAATTTTTTTTAGGAATCAATAAGACAGCTTACTTGTAATTGTACATGTGTGCGATTATTTTCTTATTATCTAACATTAAATTAACATTGTGATGGAATTCCTTGAGTAATTGAGTTTTCTAGCACAATGTGACAATCATCAAGTGGTTCGAGTATTTGAATTAGAAATGTGAGTAGATTCTTACGACGAAGAAAACTTTCTTCTTCGTACATTTCATATGTGACTTTCGTCATGGCCATCGGTTTGATCATGCGTGTTAGCAAATGCTCACTGTAAATATTGCAAACATTTGTAAAATTTATACAATATTTTTTATGCATGTATGTATGTACATAAATGTTGTTGGTAAAAGTTATTTTTCAAAGAAAAAATGAATAAAATAAAATCCAACGGCGATGGCACAAAGTATTTCGTACAAATGAGTACTTCTCTTAAGCGACACGTATTATTTTCCACTTACCGCAAGCTAAGACAAATAAGCAATTGAAATTTCCCATCTTTGCCCAATTGACTACCGGCTGCACTTATCTCATCCATTAAATGTACATAGTAACGCCAAATGGCAGACAACTCCCGCCGTTGCAAGCTATTCGCACCACTGCCATCACTGAATGACGAGTCCATGCTAGAGGCAGAATCATCCAATTGTTGGTGTGTTTGTTGTTGTTGTTGCTCGTGTTGCAAGTATTGTTCGAATTGCTCTTTAATTTTAGCTAATCGAAATATATATAAGATACATATACATATGTATATGAAACAACATATTAATTGAAATATTTCTTATGACTTACTGAAGTAATCCCATATATAAAGATTCTTTCCGAAGAAACGAGTCGAACGAAAACCGCATAGAAATACACGCTCCAGGCATTTTACTAAACCGTCATCGCCACAAAGTAAATTTGTCAATGTACCAACATCGCGATCACGACTGGGCTTGTAATGCCACTTAACAATCACATTCACGCAATTTCCCAACTGATGTTGCAATTCAGATGTTGGCACGGTATCCTGTCGTTGTACGCTTGGACTGCGTGTTCGTGGTGGTGTTTGATTGGCAACCGTTGGTATCTCAGCGCTCTTAGAGTTTGTTGATGCGCGTTGTCCAACAAGTAAACGTTCAGTAGAGTCGTCATCAACACCTTTGCCAAGCCAACGACCGCATGGAAATCTAAGAATTTGAAAATAGTATGAGCACGACTTTAATATAAAAGTAAATATTGCAGAATTAATGGATAACCATACTTGTAGGTGTGGCCAGTCACTTCATTACGCATGACTACATGTTCTACTAGCCATTTATGCGAAGGTCCCGAGTTATCGTGGCCAATCCGCATTGTTGTCAATAAACCGAGATTCTTATACTGCAATAATATCGGAGCAATAAAAGAAATCACGAATCTATAATACTTATTTATAGCAGACTTACATGAAAAATAAATTCCAGCGATCCCTTGGGCACAGGCACCCTTTGGGTCTCATTCATGGTACCGGATACAATTATCCACACATTACTGGAAGTATGATAGGAGCCATACTTACGCGATGGAAATATCACGACACGGTAAGGGAGCTCTAAATATAACAACCCGGGTAAATGCTTGTATATATATATTTATATATATATTTTTTTTAGATTTGAATTGCTACTCACTTGTTGTGGGATATGTGTTGGTGAAAGAGAAGTAATCCACTGTATTGAGAGTGAGTAGATGATACAAAAATTGTTCCTTTTCTTCTTCGCAACGCAGAAAGGCGTTACGTTTATAGAGAGAACGTAGTAAAGACTCTTCAGAAAGTAGTGTTCTAAAATGACGAGATAGCAACTTCTTTTCAAGCGAGAGACGCACCCAGGCTCGTGTGTAACCAATGTGCGTCTTTATATCAGCCATGGCCAGAACATTTCTAAACCACAAATAGCAAGCGTACAATCAATAAATAATCAATATAAAAAAATGTCCATACAGTGAAACCGGCAAAGTTGTATAGTTTTTTTTAATTTCGAAACTCTCTCAATGTGAGCAGAAGTTTATAGGATCTCATTAATTTATTAATTTATATACATATCTAACAAATAAGTGAAAAAATATTTTGGAATTTTCATATCTGAATTCATGATACCTTCATAAATGGTGTGACTATTTTCGATGTCTGATTTTTTCATATTCATTTGCGTAACTCGGCCAAGTTTCACTGTACTAAAATAAATAAATGTCTGTATATTTTCCAACACATACTTAACATCAAATTCTAACGACTCTGGCAAGGGACATAGCTGTTCGAGACCTACAAATTTATTACGATCACGCGAACGACTGCGATTAGGACTGGGTGGACTATCGATGTCGGTTTGGAAAGTGGATAAATCTATAACAATCACAAATCAAGATGATTTTATTTCAAGTCAATAGTTCAAGTACTCACAATCCATTCGTTTGCGCATTACATTCCACGCGAGTGCTGGATATAGAGAAAAAAATTTAGTAAAAATGTATTTACAATTTAAACAAGATTGTATTCATGAAAAGTCACTTGCACTAACCTGGCGTCGTACTCGCATAACTCCCACTACTAATTTTATTGCCAGCCAAAGCCTTGGGCGTGACATTGGTAATAGTCGGCGCATTGCAATTGTTGGCGCGTGCATCCTGCAACTCCAAATATGCCTGTAAATGACACCATAACGCCGATTTGCCCTGTTTGGTTTGTAGGCCATGGGACCAAATCTTTTCCAATAAATCACATAAAGATGCAATTAATGTATTCTCTTCAATGCCATCACCTTTAAGACCCAATGCTACCGCTTCGGTACCCATCTTTTCCAATAACATTCGTTTAGTTTTCGACTTGATGTCCTATGAACAAATTATTGTTATTATTATTATTTTTTTTTTTTTGAAAACTCAAAGTAGTTTATAACAAACCTTTAGTAATCGTTCGACAAAAGTCCAATTCGCCTGCGCCAAAAGTGCCGGACTAACTTCGGCGGTCGAGAGGTTTGCTGACAAACGATTTAGAGAATTTGTTTGCTTCTGGTCAATGGAAATTTCCTTGGCACGCCACTTATTACCATTCTTAACGCGCCGCAAACTATTGCCCCTGTAAACGTAAGTTATACACGAGACAAAACAAAGAAAAAAGAAAAAGAAAAAAAATCGCGAAGTTTTGGCAGCGTTTTTATAAGTTAGTTGGGTAAAACAATTAGATTTTCTTATTGGTTAGGGTTCTAAGGAGGAGTACATGTATTTCTAAAGGGATAGTAAATAAAAGTTATATATTCTTTAGTTTTTTTTTATAATTTTACACCAATAAATTATGAGTACATAAGTTATAGACATGGATATTGTGATAATTTTGAAGCATCCTATATAAACACAACGCATATTAACAAAGTAAAAAAATATTATTAAATAATAAAATATTTCTTTCTTAATATAAATTGCTTGGAAATTCAAAAATCACGTTATATCATTATGGACAGCGCGATCTTTTCCAGGAATATGTGAAGGTATATATATTATCTTTAAATTAATCAGTTTAATATGTGTATTTAATTACTGTTAGTAATAAATCTGTATGTATTGTTAGATGTATAGGTTATTATTTAATGTTCAAAATTTTATATTACACTGAAAACGAGGTCTACAGTGCGACAGTTAATGGATTGTGATATAAACGCAATTATAAAAAAAAACTAACCATAATTCTTAGCTTTCCTGTGCAACTGAGCCTTTGTTTCCTACAAAAGTCCCCTACAATATTCGTTAAATTTCATGCCAACAAAACAAAAATGATTTTACTCAAAACAGTTAAAACGCATTCAATTTTATTATCATTAACTGTTATTTTAACAAACGAACAAAAATATATATTTAAATATTCACAGAAATATTATTGGAAGACCTCGTTCGAAAATGTTTTTTTAAATATTTTTTTCTAAATTTAAGAAAACTAAATTTTTGCTCTACAATAGTAGTTATTTATACATAAAATAATATCAATCTGCAGAGTCTTGCAGCTTCGAATAAATATTTACCAAAATTGTGACGCAACTACTTGGTAGTGCTGGTTTAGTTAAATTAATATGAGTGAAATCAAAAATTAACTAATAGCATACATTACAACTCTTATACACTACTATGATACTACGCACATTTTTATGGTAATTAACATTTTACTAACAACACGCGCTGAGCATTTGAGCATCTAAAAATTAAATAATGTACAAGAAAAACAACAAAAACTTCTACGCTATGCATACATACATATTGTATGTATATGTATGTATGTATGTATGTACGTTGTCGAAAAGAAACGAACGGAGAAGACCTCGTAACCCTTATTTTTCGTGCATGGTATTTGAGATTTTTTTTTAGGTGATATGCTTTTAAAATGTCAACAACACGACAACAACGACAACACTACCTCGAAGCACATTCCTGGTTTAGCACGGACTTTTCAAGTATGGGAAAACTACGAAAATAGGCAGCTCTATTGGAGAGTATCTCACTGGGCGGAGTCACTTCAATGTCGATGCAATGCAGACGCTTCTCGTATACCTGTTGCGCCTCCTGTGACATAACACACGGCTCATAACTGGTGGCGCAAATCATATTTTCACCATGCCGTTTTCTAACCGCATACATATGTAAAAGAAAAAAAATTATCAATAGTAAAAAACCGTTATAATGTTTAATTTTCTTAGTATACTTTAAAAGAAAACAATTCACCTTAAGAGCCTCACACGTTGATCAAATATGCGTAAGTTAACATCTGGCTCCTTTTCCCACATGGACAGAATTTTGTTGTCTATTAGCGTAGCGAACATCTGAGATTCTAGAAAGCGCGACAAAAACGCGCGGTGATGTTCAGGTTGATCTGATAGGAAGGATGATTTATCAAAATTTTGCAGGGTCTCACGATTTGAAAGCCATTCATCGCGTGCTTGATTCGGGTATATAACAAAAAATTCGTAAGCGTAAAACATGTGCACAAAACGATTCAGAAAAGTTTCACGCAACGCATTATTTATACGCAAATCCTGATAGTATTGCTCTTCCAGTGTTAGCGTTGGTGCCGCCTTTATCTCTCTCCGTGCAGCTGCTGCAGCTCTAGTTGGTGATATCGTTGCATCGACGGCGTCAAAGCTTCCCGCATCATTGAGTGACACAGCACTTGGTGATTGTGTGCGTACACCTTTTCGCCGCAAGAAGTCCGCAATACGTGGAACATGTTCGATTTTCGAGGGATGCGCAATGAGTGGCTGATATTCGATATGATGACCAATGCCGTTATCTGCTCCAGTTGGGCTACCATGACCGCTACCGGCCAGCGTGTAAACAGTCTCTTGCAGATGATTAAAGCGTTCCTTACTGCGTCGCGCAGCTTGCAAGCCCGACGGCAGAGTGCAACTACTAATCATTACATCGTGATCACGTGTTGCATAACCATTTTTGAGTATTGGTTCATATGAGCGATCTCTTTCGATTTCGAATTTATCTAAAATTGATATTATTTCTGCCATGAAATCTATTTTATGTGGAAATACAGGCAATTCTTCAGGCAGTTGTATTATTTTCTTATCTATATCAACGAAACAGAGTGTAGCCTCTGTACCGATCTTATTGGCCGATTCGCAATCGGCATGAAGACCCATGACAAAGGGTACGGGCGCATCGAGGAAATGATGGAGGGCAGCGGGCAAAATTGGAGCATACACATGTGGCCATACAAATGGAAATAAAACGGAAGTAATGCACTCACCAACAATCATTAATTTCTGATAGTCTAAGTGTGAGCAAATAAAAAAAATTCTTATTATTTTAAATTAAATGTAGTATGGACAAGCGATATATACCATTTGAACGTAAAAGAACTTGATTTTCAAGCAACACACATGACAATAATTGGATAACACATTCGACTCCGAGATACGTGAATAGCAAACGTAATGGGAAGTCCAATAATGGCAGTTCAGAGCTAGGCTCTGGGCGTTGTAGTACCACAGCTAAGGGCGGCAAGTGCGGCTCAGAAGGAGGCAGGTAAATTCGTATAGATTTACCCGGCTGTGGCAACATTACTTCATACAAAATATTGTACACATAGGATTCGAGACTGATACCTGCTCCTGGTTGTCGTGGAAGACATCTACAATAAAAATATTATTATAAAAAATTTATAAACCAGCTACGTGATTAAGGCGACGACGCACTTATAGAGGTTGCTGAGAAAAACGTGAGCAGCAAATGCATACGGAACTTGACATATTAGAGAAATACTTTTGGCGACAAACAATTTATCTTTTGTAATGTCATAGTAACTTTGTGCTGATTGCGGTGCCTGCCCAGCCACTTTAAAATGTCGCGGTAAAGATCGGCTAACAGGACTTTCCCTTACGCGGCCTAGTGAGTGATTTTGTTGACCACTCGACAATTCCGTAATAAACATAGACTGTGGAATAACAGAAATAATTTTTAAATGGTATAGTGTCAATATGAACAAAACGTACCTGTAACGTGTGCATAGCACTACATATGTTCCGATTACGAATTTCCTCATAGAAAACTAAACTGAACCCATAACAACGCTTTCCATCTTCTCTGGTGGTGGCGAACGAGTGAAATTTTGGTTCAATATCATGTTTTTGGGTTCGAAAACGTAAACCTTGCGGCAGTGAAAGCTAAAAGATATATATTTATGGCAATTAGTATAAGGGTGAAACAAAGGCGTTATATAATATTAATTTGCATATTCACAAAAATTGGGAATTGATATACATAAATTTCGCAGTCAATATTGATATGTTAACATGAGACTATCTCTTGCAAGTAATTTAATATAAACGAAATGCTCGAATGAAGTAATTGAATTGATAAGATTGAATAGAGGCTTAAGAAATATTCTTTAAATTTTACAGCCTGTTTTTTTTTTTTTTTATAAAAGGTACAATTGTATTTTCATTCAATATATTATATTAGTATTAGTATGTATGTAATTGTAAAAAATAAGGGACTTTACATGTAAAACATACTACATGCAAACATATCTATAAGTGATATTAATACTATGGGTTACAAAATGAACTTGTGTCGTTTACACCACTGCGGCTGAATTGAAGTAAATTAAGTTTTAATTGGCATCAATTGAGGGATAGCACAAGTTACTTTGCTGTAAGAAATATGGTTGTAGACAGTTCAATGTGTACGTATGCGTATGTATTTCAAATGTTTCTTAAGGTTTGCAACAACGTAAACACTCAACTAATTCACGCATATATAAGAAATCGTATTGATCGTTTTAGGAAAAAAATTATGTTAAGTTTATTTTCAATCTTACCATACATATACCATGAGCATCAAATGGATTCCAGGCTACATTTTCGGGATAGTGTGCCAACGGTTTGCTTTTATATGCGCGATCAAGAGGTGAACAATGCAAATTATCACCTTTAATAGCAAGAAAACAAAACACAAATAAGAGTTAAAGAGAAAATCAATTAGCACCAGTAAATTTATGAATAATTTTACATTGTTGTTATAGGTAGGTACACAAGAATTGATCACTCACCTGCAAACCGATCAGGCTCTAAGCCAGTATCCAGATCTAAACCACATATCACAAAATAGTCAGCGAAGCGGGAATATTGCGGATCAGATTCACGTTTCAGTTGTCTTAAATCGTTGGTGCTCATCTCACCAGGCGATGTTGGCGATGTAGCCACGCTGTCAACCATGGCCTCACTAGTACCAACTACATTACGATTACAATTGCTATGCTTATTTTTGATGCCACTTGCACCATTATTACTAGCGCTGTTGTTGAACTTTCTCATAACCACTTTATCAGCCAGCTGATTATTGCTAGTCGGTTCAGTCGTACCCGTCTGCGAATTTAGCTGCGGCTGCTGATCAGCAAGCATTAATTTTGTCATTCGTTGAATATTATTCTCCGACGTCATAATTTCACCTAGCAGCACATAAACACAGACTCCCAAAGCATTGACCGTACCAGCAACGACAGTTTTAATACGAGCACGACGGTTTGAAGAAAGTTAAGTTAATTTTAAAGGACACTAAAAATAATACCTCTGTATTGGGGAAAAGAAAATATATTTTTTTATAGATAATCTTCTTCTACTTCTGCTGACTTTTCTTTTTTCAATTGTTTCCAGAAATTATTGATTTTTCTGCGAAATAAACAAAGTGTGAAAAATGCAAAAAATGAGAAAATGTTGGCCAACTGGCAATAAAATTAGAAATTTCTTTTCTTACAAATAGTGTATTGCGTACGTAGTTTGAGTTTATTTGTTGTTGGCAGCAGCAAATGGTTTGTTGTTGTGGCTGGTCCAATTGCTGCAAATGTTGTTGAATTTTCTATTTCTCTCTGCCTCTTCTGCGCCTGCTTTTTTTCTTTTCTGCTTCGACAAATACACAATAAACATTTTCGTTTTGCAAAAATTTCTACTCATACAAAGATAACATTATAATTTTAATACTGGAAATACATATGTATACCGAAATTTCTTTTTTTCCAAAACAATTCTTTATTTATTTTTATTACTTCTGTTTTTGTTCAAACGTTAATAAGATTGTTAAAATCGGAGGACACTTTTCTGTTGCTTTTCTGTTCGGAAACTTACTTCATCGCCATCACTAGACAATTGACACAAATTAAAGTGACACATAGACGACACATTTTCACGGATCCAAAAACCATTTTACTTCGGGATTGTATACTTTGGTCCTAAAAGTAAAAAAATAGGCATGTTTAAACAAGGTCATCATGAACTAAGAAACTATTAAGAAATATTCTTTCTAATTATTTTATCAACAAATGAACGGAAAGGATATATTATTGAGAATAAAAACCGTTGAAATGCGATGGCAATTTAAAGACTTTTGATAAAAAAAATTCGTGTTAACTTAGCGTGGGAGAATATAATAACTTAACTCTCGTTGGGATTAAATTCATAGTTCTGTTTTTTTAATTCATTAATTTTAACCTTAATTCAACGTGTGCAACCCTGAATTTGAAATACAACACTTATTGTAGTTACAGTTCAGTGGCGCAGTTTTCTTTTGCAGAAAGAAATTTATGCCGCACAATTTCGAGCTAAGTGTTTTCGGCAAAATTTTTAAAGTAAAGAAACTTAAACTCAAGTTTAATTTATACTTCCGGGAACTAAAAAGTAGGAGTTATATATATTACATTTGTTGGGACTTTGGGTATCCGTGCGGTTGACCGTAACACGGTACCCATGTGGAAAGTTTCCGTTCTCTCATCTGTAATTCTGCACATTCTTTAGTGAAATATGGCTGGAGGAAACCAAGCTCGTGTCATTCAGGTGACAAACATTGCACCTCAAGCGACTAAAGATCAAATGCAGACATTGTTTGGTAATATCGGAAAAATCGAAGAAATTCGCTTGTACCCCACTGTGCGTGATGTATCATGCCCAGTACAATCTCGTATATGCTACGTTAAATATTCAGAGAGCAACTGCGTGCCAGTTGCCCAACATCTCACCAACACAGTTTTCATTGATCGTGCTCTCATCGTTATACCGGTGCTTGCCATCCCAGAAGAATATCGTGCTTTGGAAATGTCAAAAAACGGCACAATTGTACCAGGTTTGCAGAAACCCGATTCAAAACTTCCACCAGAAGTGGTTAATCGAATTGAGGGTCAATCACCACAACAGGTGAGTGTCAGTTTTGAAATATAAATTGATATAAGAAGATAATGTACTTGAAATAAACTTTAGGTTATAAAAACATACGATCCAAAACTTTTGGACAACAATTTACCGGAATATCCGGCTTTACCATCTTTCTATGACTCACGAAAAATCGAGGAAATACGTAGAACTATAATTGTTTGCGATGTGAAGAATGAATGGCGTCTTGATGATTTAATGGAATGCTTCCAACGTGCTGGTGAAGTCAAATACGCACGATGGGCAGAAAAAGATAACAAAACTTATTGCATGATTGAATTTTGCGATCAGCCAAGTATTATACATGCTCTTAAAATGCAAGGACAGGAGTTTAAGGGCGGATATCTAAATGTTTATCATTCTACTGATTCCATAACAAAACCAGAAGCAAAGTCAAACGAAGCCGCACAAGCTGAAATAGAGGAGGCAATGACTATCGTTAAAGAAGCTCAAAATATGATATCGGCCGCGATTGATCCCGTTATTGGTATGCTAGCTAAGGATAAACGTCGACGTTCCCGTTCACGTTCAAGGTCTCGTGATCGTCGGACCAGTCGGTCACGTTCACACCGCTCCCGTTCTAGGCGTCGCTCTCGGTCTCGCACCCGTAAACGTTCGCGCAGTAAGTCCAAACGTCGTTCTCATTCTCGAGGTTCACGTTCCCGCAAACGTTCACGATCACGTAAACGCTCGCGCTCCCGTCGTAAGAGTCGTTCCCGCTCAAGGTCTAAGCGACGCTCGCGTTCTCGTGATCGTCGGGCTAAACGTTCACGTTCGCGCCATCGTCGCAGTACTTCAAGAACGCGTCGTTCTCGTTCACGTACAAAGCGTTCGAGATCCCGGGAACGCAAGCGTTCGCATCGCGCACGAGAGGATAAACGTTCGCGCTCTTCGCGTTCTCGTAGTAAACGTCGATCACCATCTCTATCAACACGATCGCGTTCAAGCCGCAGTAAGGACATTGTTCCACCTATAAAATCTTCATCGTCAAAACGACGCTCCCGTACACCCGATCGGAAGTTAAAACCTATATCAGAGGATATCGAAATTAAAAGCACTCGTTCGAGTGTAGATTCCAAGCCAAGGAAGTCTGTCAGCGTGGAAAAGTCAGATAATATGGATATTTCAAATTCACCATAAAAAAGCAAAAGCAACGTTTCAAATTTGACTAATTACGTTACGTTTAATTTCTTAATACTTCTTAAGCAATCATTTATATTTGAAGTAGAAGTAATACTTTGGCAATCAAAGTTTATAAACATCAATTTCTATATTCTCTGCTATTAAACATTTTGGTATTTTAAGTAATAATGCTGAATGTTCTTTTTCTTTTGACAAAAAAATACAATAAAAAGCTTTCGATTATCCGCAACTTACATATGTATATACATATATATTTTTCCTTTTACTAAGGTATTTATATCTAGGAATGGGTCAAAACATATGCCTTTTGGAAACTTGCTCAAGTCAAAATAATAGAGACATATATTTTGTGTATAAGTTCTATGTGATCTTTATTATATTCAAAATATCTAAATAAGTCGTCGTTAGTGGACAAAATAGACATTCTCTAGCTACTCACGCACATATAGATAAAGTCAATAGTAATTCTTATTATTTTTTCTAACTTAAATTAATTAGGTTGCATATGGTATATATAATATTTAAAAACGTTGCTGAAAATTTTGCTGTTGATTAAACATCATCTGCTGCTGTTGTTGTTGATGGTGAAAATCTTGTGTCTGTTGAACTTGTTGTTGCTGTTGGCCCGGACCAGGGGGTCCTGATAAACGAACACGTTTGGAACTTGGCTCCTGTTGCTGCTGCTGCTGTTGTTGTTGCTGCTGCTGCTGTTGCTGTTGCCTTTTATTGTCGGTCTTATCTTCTTGATCATCATCTGTTAAAAATTCGCGCTTCGGATAGGGGATAGGTGTACCAGCAAATACGTCTTGCGTCGGCAGTGGATCCTCTTGGAAGTAGGGATCTTGCATAGCTTGCTCTGAAGTAATACGCTTATTGGGATCCATAAGTAAAAGTTTTTGTAAAAGATGGAATGCTTTACTATCGGGTTTAATTTTATGACGCTCCATATATTTAGCTAAAGAACAGTTTGAATAAGTAGAACGTTTAAAATCTTTTGTTAAAGTGTGATGTTCAGGCATTTTTTTAATGTCCTCCCAGTCCTTGTCTTGAGGAAAGCCCATCACGTTGAATATGCGATCCAATTGGTCGTGATGATATGGATTACTAGTTTTTATATCCTCTTGTCTACAGTGGAAAATTGGTTCAGAAGTTAATAATTCTGCAAAAATGCAACCAATTGCCCAAATATCTATAGCTTTTGTGTAATGGCGAGCGCCTAAAAGCAGCTCAGGTGCACGATACCAAAACGTAACTACTACAGGATCTAAATCTGCTAATGGCTTAAGAGGCGCATTAAACAGACGTGCAAATCCCATATCTGCAATTTTCACCCGGCCCCGCTCATTGCCGTCACCCATAACTAAAATATTCGCCGGCTTTAAATCACGATGCAAAACCCAATTACTATGTAAATAGTGTATACCATCCAGAATTTGATATAGCAAACTCTTCACCATTCCCCTTGGCACAATTACTTGCTTTTTGGCAGCTTTTGCAGCTCGATGAAATTTAATTATGTGCCATAGATCATGTTCGGCATAGTCGATTAATAAAAATACTTTTCGGTCATTATGAGATAAAAAGACACGAATTAACGTAATTACGTTTTGATGTTTTAATTCCCGAAGTAGTGCTATTTCTCTGCATGCTGACATTGACAATCCAGTACCATCTATTTGTTTCAGGGCATACTCTTTACCATCAGTCCGCTCCTTCCACTTTGCCTTGTACACATGACCATATGTGCCGCGACCGACTTTACAACCTTCGTAATTAAACAGATCTTCTACTTTTGTTCGCTCCATTTGTGTTTTCATTTTAAAGTCGTAATCCATTTTAATATAAATAGTTCAAGAATTTTAAATGAATATTCCGAATAAAAAGTAATTTTCCGCAACATCAGCGTCCCTCAGCTGATGTGCACTTGTCAAATATTTAACATCTATGGATGGTAGTAGCATTTTAATAAAACAGCAAAATTCGATATTTAATTCTTCTTTCTCTTCGATACTTCAATCGATTATGCAAATACAACTTAAGAAACTAAGACAGATAGAAGAAAGATTGGAATTTATTTCATATCCATAATTCAATTTAGTCATGTTTTACTATTTTACTTCACTCCGTTATTAGAGTTTCATCGGCCGAATAATTCGAAGAAAGTTCTATACGTTACCTGTTGACCTAAACGATGTCAATCATCAACACTTAGGAAGATTGAGCATATGGTGTCCTCTCCCCATTACTATTCAACCTCAAAAGTTTGAAGCTCCTTCCTCCAACAGAAGCGGTTTCCTTGACCTCAAAGGCCGATGATTGCTCGATATTGACGTCCGGCCAGGATATTGATGATCTTTTTTCGAAAGTAAACGGCAATATCGATGATCTATACCACTTCGCAGAGGCTAAACATACACCCAGGCAACAGTACAACAACCCCTGGACAGGACGTCGTAGACAGTAAACAACCAACCAAATCACCCCCAAAAGCAGACGAAGAGCTCGAGCTGCCTCGCGTGACCCGTATGATAACCCCCTGCAGGTTAGGGGCCCAAGAATTTACCCGCGGTAAGGCATGCCTGTCTTCATACCGGACCGACCCGGATTTTTATCCGGCCAAGGTCTGTCACTACCGCAACATTCCCAAAAAAGTGCTTTGGGGAATAATTTTGCGGTTACAACAACAACAACAACACCCGTTTGATACTGGCGCAACTTAGGTCTGGATTTTGTAACAGAGTAAACTCCTACTTATCCAGACTTGACTTCAACATACCCAACGTATTTGAAGCATATAATGAGTCCCCACTCGATACTAACCACCTCTTTAAAATTCCCGTAAACCTGTCACATTCAACCCCCCACAACCGCTACAACGAAATCAACAGGTTCTATGCCAATTTGCTTAAAATTCTATGTTAAATCGCTTGATAAATAAGTTGTTATAACAATAAATTGCCATCCCTAACAACGGTCTACTGTTCCCGAATCAGTTGTTCACTTGGTAATACAACTGATGCAACTCTGCATCTGTCAAAAAGGCATGCTCGTAAGTAAACAAATTGATTTTAAAAAATAAACAGCAAATAAAATATAATTGTGGATATTTGCTAACATTATTTCAATAAAATGGGTAAAGTCAACAAAAATATACGTATGAAGGCAAAAGCCGCTGTGGGCAAAGCGGTCGCGGCTACTAACAACATTAAATCGAAAACTTGGACGGATGCTAATGCAGATAGCGCTCTTGCCAGGGACGATAAATTGCTTTTACCGAAGACACCAGTTAAGAAGAAGGCTATCACCAAACGCGAGAAGGTGCGCCAAAAACACAAACAACTTATGAATAAATTTTCATTAATGAAAAAGCAGCGTAAAGAAGAAACAGCACGCAAGAATCGAGAAAAGACTGCAGTTATTGGAGATTTAAAACCACTAAAGGATGCTTTGCCATCACTGGATGAACTCTTCAAATTAAGTAAAAAGCCTGATACTAAAACCGGTATCAAGGAAATTGATGAGCCTACACAAAATAACGAAAACTTAAAGGATGAAAAGAAGTTGAATGTGAAGCAGAAGTTGAAAAAAAAGAAAGAAAAATTCATACGCCAAGTTAACTCTTATCAAGCATTACTGAAGGATCCAGATTTTAAGAAAAATCCACGAGATGCCATTTCTTATCACATTAAATACACACGAGGACTTTTAGATGAATAAGTAATGCCTTAAATGTTATAATTTCTGAATAACCCATATATGCATAGAAAAAACCCCACATATATGTATTCATTAAATGATATATGTACATATACAAATAAAAGTTTGATTATGAAAAAAAAAATTATGAATACGTCAATATTTCATTTTAAGGTAATTATAGAAAATTTGTTTATTTTCCAGATCATATGCCATTCTTGCAATCATTGAATTTCAGATGGTATTTAACGTAAAACACTGCCCCGCAAATGTAAACGTCAACTATAATTTTAAGTGAACCGGGTCCCATAGTTAAGAATACCTAAAAATTTAAATCCAAAAATATAAGTTTACTTTCTTTTATTGATACTAGTCTTATTTAGAAGAATATTTTATATAATGAAGGTTTCTTTGATTTGATTGATTTTCTCTTATATTATTTAAATGTTGTTCTAACGATTTACACCAAAGAAATTTTTAAGGACTAATATTTATGCATGTTCTGGACTATAGAAGATATAAAGATAATATTATGAATATATTTGTGTTTATCCAGTTACAGTGTAATTATATCCTTTTATTTTATTTCATATGTGTATTTATGTATGTATAAAAAGGTGTTAGTTCATTTATTTCTATATCTCAAAGAAGTTCCTTCTAAGTATTTTAAGTATAGAGCAGTTCGATGATTAGAATTCATAGAATGCTTCTTTTTTTTATATATATACACTAGTATAAACCATAATGTTGATATTTAAGGGATTATCCAATAATGTCAAGCAAAAGTAAATAAAATAAAATAAAATAAAATAAAATAAAATAAAATAAAATAAAATAAAATAAAAGAAAAATAAATAAAATAAAATAAAATAAAATAAAATAAAATAAAATAAAATAACATAAAGTAAAATAAAATTGAAAAAATTTATTTATAAAAAATTTCAAAGTTTGTGTGACTTCAGCAATATGACCTCAATTAATTGTGGTAGTCGCCAACATCTTGTTTTACATCAACCAATCGCCATCAGTGTGTCATCAGGGTAAGCATCGAGTCGTTAGTGATGATGAGTAACTCGTTTGAATCTTAATAATGTTAGTTCAATGCGTTAATGAAGCTATATTGAAAGAAGTACTTAATGCGAAATGTAGAGGGCACGGTATGAAAATTACATATGTTTATTAACGGTTTGGTGTTCGATGTGCATTTTTTCAATATACAACATATCATATGGTGTTGGCTCTTACAGTGATGTGACTTGTAGCCACGGATATCCTTACTGTGTTCTTTTGTTTTATAGAAATATTACAAAACAAAATAATATGTAATATATTTAATCATTTATATCTATTTATTAGCGTGCAGAGTACAAACAGTACAGAACGATGAGCAATGTACTATGTACTCATATATTATGTATATAGATGCTATCCATGATGAAATTGTGAATATTAGTATTCGATATTAAGACAACATTTGTGTATTCGTATATGTTTGTAAATTATTAATGAATGTTTATTTCTATTATTTTTAGCCACCAATTATGTTAATATGTAGATTAATTTTTTTGTTTACATTATTTGTTTACTTAATTTCTGGTTTAAATATTTTATACCTTACATTTTCGCAAATATTTGAGATCCTTACACATATGAAATTCTATCCTCAATTATTATCTTTTGTTTTAATTAAATGATAGCAATAATTGTGCTTAATATATTTTTGTGTTGTAAATTTGTATAACAGTGAAAACGTAATACATACATAGACTTTCTTAAAAAAAAAATACAAAATAATGTGAAGCGTTTTGAATGTACGAAAGGATATTTAAAATAACATTTTTAAAGTATTAAGATTATTTTAGTTATACATATAGAACTTAACTATTATTTTCCGATTGCATGGCCTATTAAATTTGAAGGTGAATAAATATTATTTAACTGTGTTTTTAGCTCTCTTCAACACCAATTTTGCTTTCCTTAATAAGAGTCTTCAACTCCCTTGTTTGCACAAGAGCTCATGTATTAAATGGACGACTTCCATGTACTATGCAAGAAGAAGTATGTGATCAACTTTTGTATTCATCCGTTTGGTTTTAACGAGCATTTTAGCAACACAAAAATTATTTCATATACCGGATAGAAACATGCTCGTATATAAGCATACAAATTAAGCTGCAGACAACACAACACTAAGCTTAAAAAGGTCAGTGCCCACTTAAATAATAAATATTTTCTTTACCCACTACTTAATTTAACTATTTTTTTTTTAAATTTCAATCTTTTAACACTATAAACTGCTTATAAAGTATGCATGTATGTATGTAAATAATAGCTATATATAATTATTGAAGTTTTAATCGAAAAAAATGTATATATGTATATATAAAGTGTATATATCATTCTCTTGCAATTATAATTAAATCAATGTATTTATTTATTAAGCAAAAACATCAAAAGTCTGTAAAGAAAAATATATGAAAATTATTATTTAGACAACATTTAAAAAGGTCATATACGCATAACAATACATATACATATGCCAAAACAATTCTAACATACCGGAAATTAATTCCCTTATTAGATAAGAGTCTGTTGCACTCGGAGCTATCCGGCAAAGGCAGCATATAATAGTCACTTTCGCTGCTCTGTAAAGGAATAATAATTTAATACACATATTCATTGCAACTTTTAACGCAAATAGCACTTACTTGTTCCGTAAATTCGTGTCTGTAAATTTGAGTTGACACTTTCATATCAGAGAATGGTCCTTTCAAAGCAAAGAAGTGAATACTCATTGGTGTACTGGTTTTTGTTTTCAAAATGAGCTGTAAATACGAGATTGTTATTTCATATTCTCTTTATCATAAACATGATGTTCATGGTATTGCAATCATGCTCGGACTGTGTTACCTGATAAGTTATGGTACGTTCATTGAATTGATGTGGATCACGTTGACTATTATTAATTCGTGCCTTCACCACCCATTGCTGATTGAATGCTGTAAATCTGGCTGTTTCATAAAACAATTTGTGCACATATTCATCGGTGCGATAGGGCTTCATTTGTAAATCTATAAAATAGATAAGTAACAAGAGAAATTACGTAATGTAATAAAAGTGAAAAAAACTTGAATATAAAATTACAAAATTTAATTGATATATATAATATTAAACTATATACGTATATCTTTAGATACACATATAGTGTGTACAACCCAACCCCTCCGAAACGGCGAAAACTTTTTTTCAAGCCGGGAAGTGGATCTTGAATTAATAGTTCGATTTACTTGAGGTTTGATACTTTTGTAGCTTTTTGCTAAGACTTAGCAAGCGATTACCGGCAGGCTGACAAAAATTAGAACGGTTTGGATAAGAGCATACATAGATCGTGCATAGGTATGTTCGCTGCGCAATGCTATTATTCCGCGGCTATGGTTTAGTAACTGTTCTTATACGTTCAACTTCAGTGTGAATAAGCATAGAAAAGAACGGTTCATTTGGCTTACTTCGAGGCATTCATATTAACCTTTCCGCGAAAGACTTTAATAAAAAAAACCTAATATTCTTTATTAGATAAAATTGATTAGATATTTTACCATTCTTTGCAATGCAACTATAACGTAAGTAATCTGTATGTATAACGTATATAAAGTTATTACCAAATAACATTTACCATTAAATATGATCTTCTCATAACTCAGCAAATCGATTAACGTCAAATACATTTTCTTTTCCTCTTTAATCTTGGCATCATATGCTTCCAAAGCAGCCATAACCTCAAATCCAGACTTTGTGGGATGCAAGCAGTTGCGCTCGTGCTCATTAGCTGCATAAGGAAATTAAATAGATTATATATATGTCTATACATATACTTTTGCTTTAAAAATCGTTAAAACTTTATTTTTTTTTTTTGAAAAACACGCACTTTCATGGTTCGGTCCACGCCATTGGCAGCCAATTCTTGAATATTTGCAATTGGTGGGCCGTTCTTGACATTCATATTCTTCATGACGTTCTAATGATTTGTAAGGAAATTCTTTGTTGCAATACTGAAAGAAATAATAATATGTATTTATTTAAATTAGCTACTTTAAAATTATTGCGATTTTTCATTACCTGACATTCGCTGGGCAACTCCGATGCTGCTTTCTCTACGGCTAAGTTACGTGATGCAGTGCTTTTCGAAATCTCCACACGACAATTGGGGCAAGTGGCCACTTGATCACGTAAACTGTTGAGAATTATTTAAAAATATTAAATAGTCAAATATACATGAGCGTAAATACTATAAAATTATGCTGAAAATGGAAAAAAAACTAAGAAATTTTTTAATGATTATTTTTTTTTAATGATTATTATTTAAATATTTTTTACACATATACACTTCTTAAATGTATGTCATACCGTCCATCTGCGAGTAAATGTGTAAAACAAGCGGCACACATTAAATGGCCCATTTGACACTGCAATGAGAATGTAGGTAGCAAAGTTAGAATTCTAAGAAATCGCCAAATTGGGTTAACAAAAATGTATATATGTATGTGAATGTATGTATGTATCTAAAATATTTGTGCGCTCATAATTTTATATATGAATAATTGAGAATCCTGTAAACGGGAAAAAGAAAAAAGAATCTATTAGTTGGAAATCTTTGACGAGTTAAACATTATTTTTTATAAAAGCATGGGATGGTGAAGAGAAAAAATGCACTCACCGCTGGAAATTACTGTCAACATTGCCGCAAATTTAAAGAGAACTATTTTCAAAATTTTGTTGAGACAAATAAGAAGTAATTTTATGGTGTTTAAAAAACAATAATTTTAAATTAGAACTCCTTAGAAGAGCTGTTCTGACAGTAATTAGCAGTGGAAAATGTTCTTTAGACCGACCTATGTGTATACCTATATAACATAGTATGTGAGTATGAGTATGAGAATGTATGTACGATCATAAATGTATATTTTAATGACTAAATGAGTGATGGTTTGTTGTAAAAATTTTTAAAGTTGTATACGAAAAAGTCGATAAGTGCATTGATTGAAGAGAGTGTAAATTAATTATTTTTTGGTTGGCAATGTGAAAATATTTACGTAAAATAAGTGTAAAGGACGGCAGATTTGTTTACGTTGTATGTTGTGATGATGATTTGCGTGGAAATTATGTAAATGAAATTTGTTTGGCTATGTGAGTAGGTAAGCCGTACTTTTATTTATCTCATTTTTTCTTTTAAATAAAAACAAGCGCATTATTTTTGGTTTTCAAATTAAAACGTGAACTCTTTTATTGATTCAATGTCAATATTTACTAATAATATACAATAAATACGTTTACTGGGCGAAAATGTGGCTCTATTGCTTTTTTATTTTATATTTATTTATTTCTTTTTTTTATATTTAAGTTTTCTTTTTTTTCTTTTTTTTTTTTTGCTTTGACTTTTCTTCTTTTTTTCTCGCATATTTACTTACTATACGTAAAATAGTATGAAAGATTAAATGCATATATGTATGTATGTGTTGGTACAATAACAACATATTGACAGTTTTTGTTTATCTAACATCACTTATTGCATAGAACTTGATTACATGTTGGTTTTTATTTAAGACATTTTGCTTGCATTTACAAAATGGTACATTTATACATTTATCAATTACTCGTATATGTTATATATCACAGGTACGTTTATATACTATTTATAAACTAATTTATTTGTTAATTTTGCGACATATTTAATAATTATTTAATTGATAACTAAATCAATTGTTACGGTAAATTAACTAAATAAAACTAAAGAAATTATAGAGTAATTGAATATTTTTCTTTAAGCATTATTATTTCATTTTGAGGTTATGTTGGAGTAATTATCAAATTATGTGTAGTAAACCAATTACAATAAAAGAATTGTTTAAAAATCCTTATATATTGAATTAATATCAGCAATTGATTCAATGAATAAATTAGTGATTTTGGAAAATTGAACTATTTAAATTTGAAAGCATATTTTTAATCTGCGTGTTTATGCCAATTTTGTTTATTTTTTTTAAATAAATAAAATCGATAAATTTACTTTTGGCTGATTGCATGCTATGAAAAATATATTTTCTATTTCATTTAATTGATCACGATTTTATAAAAAAAAGGTTTTAAAAATTTTGACATATTAAATACAAATAATTTTTATTTTAATAAACGTCAGTCATTTTAGTCCAAATTTAATTATCCATTTTAAGTTAATTTTTTTTTGTCGTGCACTTCTGCTGTTCACTTTTAATTTCCTTCTGAATATTTTCTGCTATATATGTATGTATGTTCATACATATAAACGTATATATATATATATATGTCTTCATTTTGATCAACCCAAGTCAAGTATATCCCATTTTTTTTTTAAAGAAAATAATAAAAAAATTAAAAAATTTTATTTGCCTGTGCCTTGTAATATATTTTTTATCATTTTTTTTATGTTAGAGATTTCAACCGAATTTCGTACTATATTTTTAAACCGAAATTCAAATGATGTTAGTAGAAGAGTAAAATATTGTTAGTTTTCACTCCTAAATAACTTTAATAAATTTATATGGATGAAATTGAAAATATGTGTATTTAGATATTTAAAAACTTTGTATCTGGGCCACAAGGATCTTGAAAAAATTCATTTTCATCCGTGGTATGTGTTTCAAAACATTGTTTGAATTATTCTTTTACCCTTAGTATGGACACGACGGCAGATGAACATGAATGTGATTGATTGGCTTACTAGTTTTTTTTCGCAAAAAAAAAAAAAAAAAAAAATTCACAAAAACGTGGAAAATGCGCGCAGATTGCTTTCGTCAGGATTTTTTTATGCAAAAAAAAAAAAAAAATAAGAAAGTATAGTCCAAGAGCATTACAGTGAGAATTAAGTTGAATTCCAAATAAAAATAATACGGTATATGTACATCATAAATTCAGGTAAATTTAATTTTTTTTAATATGCAACAATGTACTTCGTGGCCCTCTTAATTGTATTCAGCTTTTGTAAATACACAGCGCTGATCTTTTTTTTAATTATTTTTAGCAACAGCTATAAAAACAAAAGCTGCATACTCTTGCATACTAGATACCAACGACGATGTATGTATGCATAATGTAGAGAATTCGTGTACCGTCTATTTGTAGCAACTATAGGCACATACATATGTACATATGTATGTATATGGTTGGCCACCTAAAACGTGCTGGCAAGTATCTATTTTTAAAAGAGCAAAAAGGCTCTCATCTACAAAAAAAACATTTTAAGCAAAATATCAAAGGCGATCTTTTAACTAAAGTCTCCCAAAATGATGAAAAAATGGGTGTGGTTATCTTAATTGACTGACTGACTGGCTGGCTGGCTGGCTGGTTGTTATAGAAGAAATGGCGGATAATTAATAATTGAATGTGAAAAGTAAATAAATACTTTTTAAATCTTCAATAAATACATATAGAGTTACATTTTTAAAAACAGACATTTTGATATTTATGTACACACGTCATGTTACAACTACAAATACCCATTCATTCACATAATCTACAAAATCACTCATCATACAAGCGGATTCAGGCATTTCGCACTTTTTATTTAAATACATTCATATGTACATATATAAATCAATTAGCTTATAAAGAAATAAGCAAAATAGCAGCAAATCGTCACAATAACGTTTAATTGAATTTATTTCAGTAAAGAGTAGCAGTTAATGATCGTGGCCGTATTAGTGAGACTACAATACACTTTTTCCACAGTTGAAATGAAAAAGAGTTTATAATTTTTATTGCCTATATATAGGCGTAGTAACCCGGTGTCATAAATAATATTGAACTCATTGAGATTCAATAAAAATTTCCTTTATAGAACTAATAAGCCCAATTGAAAATAATTACGTTTCTTTTAATGAAAGCAGTTTCAATGTTAATGAATGGTACTTCTTCTAAATTATAAGTAATTTTTTATGCATGTACATATGTATATCTGTACATATGTATGTAAGCTGAGACACGTGTATGTCACGTATTATCAGCGCATTATTTGACCGCCATTTTTTCGCTTCAAAAGTTTTTACAGACATTCATGCCATATTCATTCAATTACATATACATATGTATTTTGAATGACTAGTTTATATATGTATGTATACATGCATACTAAACAAATCATGAAGTTCGCGAAGATTGATTCGTGTGTTGTGGTTGAATGAACTTGTGTGAAACCGATAAGCGTATACCACTATATACAGTGGTACGTACAAAATTTGTATGTAAGTATGTAAAACTAATTTTTTAATAATTTAAATTTGTTAAAATTCGTCTTGTTCTTGAATATGTGTGTTTATACCAACGTATAAAGTATATATAGTTTTTACATTTACCCTTTATTTTTATCATATTATTATCATATCTTATTTTATCTTGCTTTTTATTTGGTATAATTTTTTCATTTATCTCTTTTTTTTGTCTTATTCCCATTATATTTTACTTTGTTCAAATTAATTGAATTTAGTTTTAATTATATTTCCTTATACTTTATTTTATTGTGTTTTTTTAACTTCAGGGACAGAAAATACCAATTATCGCATAATTTTTGACTAAAAAAAATCATTATGAAGACTACAAAAAAATGTGTGGAAAACTTTTAAAATTTGATTTATATTTTTTCTTCGCAAAATAATCGTTAAATAAGAGTTAGTGGATAACAGTTATTTATAGCTCACAAAAGCAAAAATATAAATTGGAAATATTATTAAATATAACTTTTTGACCATTTCTTCATAACTGTTGACGTCTCTGACTTTATTTCGGTTTATATTATTTATTTGTTTTTTGAGTTTATTTTTATTTTTTAATATCTTTTGGTTTTTAGTTATTTTATTATTTGTCAATTTTTTTTATTCATTTCTTTTGTACAATACAATATTACATTTATTTTATTTTCTACTTTTTTTATTTTTATTCTTATTGTTTTTATTTTTTTATTTATTTTCTATTTTTTTAAACTTTTCTTATTTTTATTTTATTTTTTTTTTATTTTTTTGAATTTGTTTTTATTTATTTTTATTTTTTTATTTATTTTTATTTTTTTATTTTTTTTATATTTTTTTTAATTTGTTTTTATTTTTTTTATATTTTTTTTTATTTTTTTTTATTTTTTTTAATTTTTTAATTTTTTAACTTTTTTATTTTTTTTTTATTTTTTTTATTTTTATTTTTATTTTTTATTTTTTTATTTTTTTTTATTTATTTTTTATTTATTTTTTATTTTTTATTTATTTATTTTTTATTTTTTTATTTATTTTTTATTTTTTTTTTATTTATTTTTTATTTATTTATTTATGTTTTATTTTTTTGTTTATTTTTTATTTTTTTTATTTATTTTTTATTTTTTATTTTTTATTTATTTTTTATTATTTTATTTTTTTTTTGTTTTATTTTTATATTAAATTTTTAATTT